AAATAAGAATAACTTTAATTTTTTCGATCCTAGTAAATGCAATCCATCTGTAAACGTGCATAGTTGGTCTTTTCTTTACTTATTCTACTTATAAGTTCTTATAACTTCCGTTATGATGGTAGGAATGATGTTTTAGCGGGTTTTGTCCGATGACCTCATTATATTGGCGCGTGAATCGCACCACACCCAGGCGACAGTGAGCAATCATCTACGTGTTAAGATAAATACCTGAGCAAAGGATAGTCGATGGCACTAAGAAATCCATGTGGTTGCCTCCACTTCACCGTGATCGTGATGTTATGCTCATCACTGTAAGATGTTAGCGGATATCGAATTCCAATAACCTTCAAATATCCCATTAATCACAAGAAATTTCATTCAACAAGAAGAAAGCAAAAAAAGAGAATGACACACCTTCATGACCAGAAAATATATTCCGTCACTCGGTATTGTCTGTGCTGGGCTCCAAGAGCTACAAGAAATTGAGCTGGTACACTACCTTGCATGAATTATTGGACCAAAAAGTACAACTCACGACAACGAAGGGCCAAGACTGACTGCTGCACTTCTCTTATAACGAAATGGAAACTAAGATACAGAAATGATGAAAAAGGGAAGAGAACGGGAATATTATTAACTCACCAAACCTGTGACATTTTGGACAGTCATTGGATGAGGCTCTGGCTCAGAAAAAATTATGGAACCGTGGGAATCCTAAAACAACGACTCACATCACGATAACTTCAAGCTGTAACAGAATCAAATACATTCTCCCGTAATTTTCAAGATTGTGAGCAAGACTCGTGCACATAAATCAAATACACTCTACTCTAAAATATTTCAAACTAATCATAAGATAAAATGAAGAAGTAGAAGAAAATATATCGTGACATTTTACAAACATTGCAGGGGTGCAAGCTGAGAAACTTGTTACAGAAGGAAATGAGGAACGCCTCTCACTGAACGCCTTAAAATATCAAACGATAGTAAAATAATAATGAAGAAAAAAATTTTTATAACCATACCTTACACGAGAAGTTGAGATTTTTGGATTTGTAGAATACTATTTTATCGTAATCGTAGCTGTCCGGAATGTGGTTTGGATCATCGAAGTAGAAGGACTAAAAAAGCTCAATTACCGTGGAATACTATGACGTGGTCGGATCAGTGTTTCATTTACTTCCATCAGTACGCCGTTTGAGTACTGGTGTTGGTCAATTTTCATGCCTGCACCGAAGAAACCACGAGCGGCTTACCCTTGCCACTGAGCTCCTCGGAAAACATCATTTTACTATTCTGATAGCAACCATTTTGTGAGATATTACACGCTAGGCGTTCGTTCCAGAACGCGAACGTTTTGGTAGTTAAGGAATGGCTTTATCTTAAAAAATTTCTTGACCAGAAAAAACGTCGAAGGGTTGCGTGTCATCACTTTCGACTTTCTGCATTTTTGGCTCGGCAGTATCTGTTGAGATCGTAATTGGAGCGAAATTTCTGCATACGATAGGAACGGCGGTGAAGCTCCTGCATGACATTCCTACATCGCAAAAACTCCTGTAAGCCGTGCCCGTTGACTTACTTTTGATGGGTTACCCAGGATCCCGAACGATTGGCATACGGACCATGTTAATAGTCCTAACTTCAGAAACATTCTACCTTTCTATCTTTCCTGATTTGTCTCTGATTCAAGCTTTTTTTTCCTGTATCGCTTAATAGCCTCTATACGGTTATTACAAAAGTCCCAAGAATTTCATAATGCCCTTCCACCTCTCGCGTGTCAATGATTGCATGTGGCATTGAATGAGCCTCCTCCATCTGAAAGATATTGGGAGTTCCACATCAGTAGCCATGCATATTGCAAGGAAACCTTCTTATGCAACTAACTAAAAACAGGTTATGTGAATTTGATATATTATTTCTACCTTAAAAATTCCTGAATTTTGGCGCCATTAATTTTGGGACACCCTGTACATTTAAGATGCTTCTTGAGCTCTACGACAACTTCACGCCCAGGATTTCACCATTATACAAGTCATTATCAACGTGAAGGAAGGTGACCGGCAGGGCGATACCATCACCCCAACTTTTCAGTGCCGTTCTCGAGAATATCATGCATCATTTGGAATGCGAAGACTTGGGAGTAAAGGTCGACGGCGGCTACTTACATCACCTTTGCTTTGCAGACGACATCTTGCTCATAACACCGAACATCGAGCAGGCTGAACGAATGCTGCCCGAGTTTGTCAGTGCTTGTGGAAAGACCGGCTTGAGACTGAACTTAACGAAGACGATATTCATGAAAAACGGATTGGTACCTGATGCTCCCTTCACGCTAGGCGAACTAATATCACCGAATGCTCTAGATATGTGTATCTAGGTCGGGAAGTCAACGTGATGAACGACCTAGCTCCAAAGCTGTGCAGAAGGAACTGCGCCGCGTAAAGAGCATTCAAGAGTATCGAGGGAGTAGTGAACAAGACAAAGAATATCCGGCTCCGCGCTCACCTTTTCGACAGTGCTGTAGCCTCGGAGACTTGGACTCTATGAAAGCCGGATGAGCATGCAGGCAGCGTTCAAGGCGCTTTGGAAAGGACGGTGCTCCGAATTTCCCTATACAGCAAGTGCAGAAATGAATCCGGAGTTCCGTGCTCCATCAACGAACGAAGATCAGGGATGCCGTTGATTACGCCAAGAAATCGAAGATCAGGTGGGCCGCTTACGTTGTGCGGCATAGTGATGACCGTTGGACCAGGGCGTTTACTGACTGGATCCCTCGGGACATCAAACATACTCCACGACGGCCGCCAACGAGATGAGCAGACTTCTTCACGAAAGCTTTGAACGACAGGGAACGTTGAACTTGGTGTCCCTGGAGCGAGAACGATTCACTGGACCACTCTGGCTCGTCACAGCGACGAATGGAGGCGTTACTGGCGCCCGCTCGAGGACGTCCATGATCAACGGAACAATGAGGTGATACCGGTGATTACTCAAAGTAAGCAGCCTTCACTAATACATCAAAATCAAATGTAAATGCTGAAGAATATATTTATCTCACCAATAGCTTCTTTAAATTCTCAGCTCTTTTCGCATCGAAAAATTCCTTGTCGCATGGCGATGAGCGAAGGGCATACTGGACCTAAAATTGCTCTATGTACTTTTGGTTCGAGTGAAAATGCTATGAGGCGGAATAAAACTAATACTCGTGAATACCTGGAAATCCATATCCTCATTCTCGTTCACACATGCCAGCCGTATTTCAATTTGGGTCTGATTCAAAGCAGACTGGGCGAAGCCAATCATTTGATACTGTAACTCAAAAACTTTAGAGCCGAACTTTAGCAACAACAGTTACTATTTTGCTACTTTTTAGAAATGAGCGAACAGGGCTACTAATAAAAAGCAGATACTACGGCAAGTGTATTGCGACTGTACATGCCAATCGTTTCTACCTCAGCTTCCTTTTCTTATATCTTCAGCTATGGTAAAACTGTACTACGCCCGAGAAGTAGCTAAGTTAACCTGATATTATGCTATCTCTTTGCTGTTAGCTGGGCTTCCGATCACCAAAACTCGATACTTTTTACACAACAGCCCCAGAATCATGCAAAAAGTGTGCAGTCACACTAATGAGATCTAGATGAACATACAGCAGAAGAAGTCCTGACATTGCAGAGCAGCGAAATTTGCGAGTGAGGACAGATTACAAACTAACGGTTGACATTTGCCTTCTGGACTGCTCAAACCCATACTCATGGTCTACACGGTATGAAAATAAAAGGAAAGAACGATCAACATCAGCGATGTTGTTGGAGGTATTAAAACTTCTCAACTGTTAGCTCAACAAATAACGTTCATATCTATATCTCAAGCAAATTCTGGAGAAGGTAATGAAGTTATAAATTGGCAAATTGCCTGAATTTCAGAAAAATATAAATAAATATAAATACTTTTCCCTCATTGAAAAACTTTCAGTTATATCTTAAATTATTAGTAGTCAGTTATATATATCAAACAAAGGGCGGAGGTGGTGTAGTGGCAAGTGGCGCACTATATCACACGCACTAGGCCAACCAAGGCTTCCATCCCTCCGGGGTCGATGAATTGGTACCAGACTCGTCTGGGAG